TGTGTTTTGTTGTCATTGTGTCATTGGGATTTTCAAGGGTGTTAACTTTATCAGTTTTCCCCAGTATTCACTGTTTTTACCCACACTACCTTGTTCAATAAACTCTTAGGTGTGCAAAGTCTTTGACCTTTGCTTACCATTTCCTCTCTCTCTCTCTCTCTCTCTCTCTCTGATAGCTCCTTCTCTCTCCTTGGTTAAATTAGGATGTGAAAGTTTCAGATTTCATTTTTAAACTTTCAATCTCTCCCAAATAGAGTCCATTGTCTCTGATTATTACTCCCTCTCATTTTCTGTTTTTGCAATAGTGTTTTTAGTCAGAAAACCCATACCCAGAGAGCCTGCTTCAGGGCTGGGATTTGCCTGAAGTTGCCTTCCCTGCTCTGTGGAGGCTGCTTCTATCTGAGCTGGGGGTCAGGAGGAAGCACAAGCAGACTTTCCTCCATTTCAGGAGGACCATGAGCTGGCATTCCCCAGAAGGATTTCTGGAAGATGTAGTGTTAGTTTCAGTGTCTCGCTGGCCCTGTGGTGGCTGGGGGAGCACACTTAAGTGAGCCACCTCCTGACTCCATTGTAGGTAACTTTCTGTAGTAGCTAATATCAGAGTAGGAGCCACCAGTTACTGGTTAAGGGAGGTGTAGTCACACTCCAAACAGATGTACTGGGGTAGTCAGCCTTGTTACTGTCAGTGCCTGTCCCATAGTATGTGGAACACACACTGTGGGTGCAGCTTCTATTCAACAATATACCTTCTTCCTAGCACATGGTCACTTCAGTCAGCATTTCTGAGTGCCAATGGTAAGGAGACCCAACAGACTCAAACTGATCCCCATGGAAGTCTTGCTGGTTTTAGATGTGTGAGCTATGGAGTGCACAGGGAGACAGGTGGGGTGCACAGGGAGACAGGTAGAGTGCTGAAAATGGGAACAGACTCCATTGCAGAAGCCTTCTGTAGATGTTTGCAATAGCCTGGCAAACAAGTTACTAGAAGAGGGTGTCACATTCTGGCCAGGTCCCCATAGAGATGTGCCTTGTTGCTATCAGAGTCCCCTCAGTAGTTTGTTGCCTATGAGTCCAGTGTCCACTCAAAATTTCTGATTCCTAACACACAGCAACCTCACTCAGCAGTTCTTAACATCAACTGGTAGTGGGAGCAGACTAAAGCTAACTGACCCCCAGGGAGGTTTGTCTTGTTGCTTTCAGAGGCCAGAGGTATGGGGTGTGCAGGCAGGCAGGTAGCGTGCTGCCTGTGGCAGCAGACTCCACTGCAGGGGCTTCCTGTAGCAATTTATAGCATGCTAGCAGGCCACAGTGTCCAGGTGGACATAGGCTATCATGCTCCAAATAGACCTCTGGGACATCTGCCTTGTAGCTATTAGAGCCCTCCTTGTATGTTGGCTGTAGCGCAGCATCCACTAAAGATGTCTGTTTCTTAGTACACAGCAGCATCAATCAGCAATTCCCAGCCCCAACTGGAAGAAAGAGCAAAAAGACCTGGCCTGACTCCTGGGAGATCTGTTCTGTTGGTTTCAGATGCCTGAGCTGTGGGCTGCACAGGGAGGTCAATCGAGTGTTTACGATGAGAGAAGACTCCATGAAGGAGGCCTTCTATAGCAATTCACAGGAGGCTTGCAGTAGGGATGGTGCTGACGTACTCCGAAAGTGCCCCCAGGAAGTTCTGCCCTGTAGATTTTAGAACAGAAGCTAGGGGTCCTGTCTCTTGGTAGAAGCAAGGGGTATGGTGGTTATGGAAACAGGCTCTTTTTCCAGATCCACTTCCCCAGTTCAGAGCAGCCAGCAGCCCTCATGCTGGAGGGAGTGGAAGAGACCGTGGGAGAAGTAATTTCCCTAGATACCTGCCTCATTGATTTGTTGACCTTTGTCTGTCTGCAGTTCCCTGTTGTTTTCCTCTGCTCCTCAAGTCAGTGTCCTCAAGGTCAAGCACTGTTTCATTGTCTCTCTTGTACTTGTGGGGAAGATCAGAACAATGGCTTGTTTACATCACCATCTTCCCAGAATTCCTATAAAGTCCACTGTCATTGAATTGATTCCAACTCATATAGACCCCCATGGAGTTTCCAAGGCTGTAAATCTTTACAGAAGTGTATTGCCTTATCTTTCTACCATGGAACAGCTGGTGGGTTTGAACCCCTGACCTTCTGAGTAGCAGCCAAAAGTCTTACCTACTATACCACTGGTCCTTTTAATTAGTCAGTCTTACATTTTCTCATAAAATGAAAAGCAAGTCTATATGCCATAATGTTAAGAAAATATGAAAAAATGTGTATGCCATTCAACTCATCAAATGATATATTGTATACATGCTTTATATATGTAGTTGGAAAATATTATTCAGTTTTAGAAGTAAGGGGAGCTCTAGTGGCTTAGTACCAAAGACATTTGACTGCTAACCAGAAGTTGGTGGCTCAAACCCACCAGCCACTCTTCAGAAGGAAAATTGGGCAATCTACTTCCATAGTGACATCACCTAGGAAACCCCAGGATGGATCGCTATTGAGTTAGAGCTGACTCGACAGTAATGATTTTTTTTTTTTTTTTAATTTTTATTAGAGGTAAGAGAAATAAAAATTAATAATGAATAAATGTACTTCAAGTATGTTCACAGAGTCATTTTCATAGACCAGTGAGCTTGAGATTTTTAAGGGTAAAGATTTAAGGAGAAAAAATAATAATATTTGAGAAGCTCTGGAGGAAATACAGCTGGGATGTTGCTTAGAAGTGAGGCAGATGAGACTTTGGCTCTCATACTTTGAACATGTTTTCAGGAGGGACTAGCTCTTGTGGAAAGATGTCATGCTTGGCAAAGCAGATAGCCGGCAGACAAGAGAAAGAGCCTCACGGAGGGAGACTGGCGCAGGGACTGCAACAATGGGCTCTAGCATGGCAATGAGTGCGAAGGTGGCACGGGGCTGGCACTGCTCCGTTCTGTTATACATCGGGTCGCTATGAGTCACAACCGACTTGACGGCACATGACAACACCCCACAGTTGTGCAGAAACTGTATGTGAAGCAGATTTCAATGTCCTGCACTGGAGTATTATGAAATTTTCTGTACTCCTATTCATAAAATGTGTTCTCAATTAGGCAGCTACTATCTATTGGGAAAGCAACTATCACTTTACATTTTCACATAATTGGACTTCCCAATCTCTTTTAACAAATGGTTCACAACGTGAGTTATCTTGCACAAAGCAAGATAACCTTTCATCTATCCTGGCTCTTCAGTAGCAAGCACCTAAACACCCACTTTCCTGCCTTTTAGACCAGTTATCTGTATGTTCCTTCAAGCCGAAGGAAGTTGTAAAAAGGGAAATTTTCAGCAAATTTTCACAGTAATAAAAATAAAACAAAGAAAAAAATAAACCCAGTGTGAAATGAAGCAAAAGATGTGTGTAAGGAGCAGAAGCCAACTAACAAAGTGGAAATTGTGACAGCCATGGAGGTAAGTTGTGTTTGGATCACGCTGGTCCACTTCCTGCAGTGCCTTGTTTACTGAAAGTCACCAGCGGATGGCACCTGTCACCCAGCCAGTGACACGCTAGCACATGGCACTCTGCAGGGTTCATTGCAAATGAGGCAGGAGACACTAAGTTAACTAGCAGACTTAACCATGGTCCTCATTTGTATCCCCACCCGTGTGTTGTGATTGACTTGGACTCATCTCAGGAAATAAAGAGAGGTGACAAATATGAGCTGGTATAGCCGACCCCCCCCCACACACACACAGTGCTTTGGAATCTATTTTCCTGGAAACTCAGACCCTCTCCTCAGACTTTGGGGGAATGTATGATTATACATTTGCTTAATTGGGTACATGGACTCCTATGGAAGTGGTAAGTCATGCTAACACCGCAGTGCTCCTGGAAGAGCCAGGAACAGGAGAGTTCATGAATCCTGAGTGCTTCACCCTGTGGGCCCAATTAAGTTTTACTGCCAGTTAATTAGCGTTAAACTTATTTCAGTTCATCCATCTAGAGAAAGAGCCTTACACAAAAGACCATGGTATTGTAATTACCTTTGCTTTAAACAAGCTAAATAATATTAAAAACCAAAAACAAATAGCAGATGTGCTATTTCATTAAAGGAACTTTTCCTAAAATATATTCTTCTAATAAAATGAAAATAATTATCCTTTGCTGCCAACTTCACTGTTCATATGAAATGTGTGGGCTGCTGTCCCTGCTTAGCTGTAAAAGGATTTGGCATTAATCTGTTTCATTAAAAATTAATGAGGGGTAAATCGACAGCTACTTAGCATAATTGAAAGTCAGGCTAAATATTGTTGGTAAATGATTTCGTTCTCAGTGTGACTGCTTTGATCCATTACCAAAGATAGCACCATCAAATTTCTGCGTGGTTAAATGAGGCTCTAGTTCGCACAGGAGACTGAAGCAACATTTGAAAACTGGAGCTACCCTTGCTCTTATGTTTTTAGTGGATGTCTTAGGTGTTTATAAATCTGAAGCCATTAACTGTGCTGACATTTAACTTTCGAACTATACCACAGAGAAAATATAGAATGACATCAACTATCAAATCTTTGGCAACAAATTCATTCACATTTCATAAAAAAGCTATTTATAGGCAGCCCCCAGTTTACAAACATTCAACTGACCTGCAACTTGTAGTTAAGAGCTCACCCCTGTAAAGCCTATTGTATTAAAATTTCGAGGGGTATACAATGGTTCATAGCAACAGATGGGCACTGCTTTGTGATGTGCACCCAACCTTATTATTATTTCCACTATATTATTATGTTAAAGATGTTTTAGTGTATCAGGAAATGTTTCTTTAATGTTTTTTAAGCATAGAAAGATACACTATTTCCTACATACCAAGACAAACATTTGACTGACCTTAGATATGAACCGTACCGAACTATTTTGACTATGTACAAACTCCTCTTAAAGACATATTTAGGAAGATAACTCATCTATATTACAGGAATGATTGTAATGCAACACTTTCATAAGATAGTTACCTGGCCAATGTGATGTCTAGTGGTATTCATTTCCTCTGGTACAAAAAACTGGTTCCACACCCAGCCACGCTTAGCTCTCCGATAAGATTCCATTGGCTGCTTAACTTCCTGTGTTTCTGAGTTATCGGTGGCTGTAAGGCAGGGCCGTAGGAGAAGAATTCCAACCATAAAAGGTATCAATAAGCAACAATTCATTCTGATGTCTCTTGATTGCAGCTGCTACTCTTCTAAGGAAATGGTGGGTGGTGCAGAAAGATCTTGTGTTACCTTACAATGTGTTTTTACCCTTAAGTATATCTCATGACCCTAAAGTCAAAGAATAAAACAGAATTTCACAAAATTAAAAATAAGATTTTTCTCCCATAATTGCTAAAGGCAGGGTACATTTTTTTCATCTTTAACGGATGTGAATAAATGGGACAAGGCATATATATTTATTGATCTCCCAATTAAGCTAATTTTATTTTGTAGTCCCACTATAATTTTATTGCAATAATTATAAATTTCTGCACAGGTGCAGTTCATTTGGTGTTGCAGTTATAAATTGGCTTGAAGTTTGAGAAGTTGCTTTCGCAGTCTCCATGAGTGACAGCTGACATTGATGTAAGATTTTTTTTTTTTTTATTAGTACTTACTTTCATCTTTCAATCTCAATAAAACTAAAACTTTCCTGTTAAAGCAATAGCCAAGAAGGTGTGTGTGGGGAAAAAGTCAACTTTCTCTTCTTTTTACTCAATAGAAATAATCTTCGTCATACTATTTCTTAAATCATGATATCAGGTGTACTTAATTAAATAGATAGAAGGTTAATTTGGCTTAAAAACTTTGTAGCATTTCATAGTAAGTTATAGTGATGTTATTAAACACTCAGAATAGAAATCCTGTGTATGATACTTACTTTGTTGCATTATGAAAGATGTGCAAAATAAGCTTTTTTATCTTAACAAAACTATAAGCCTATTAGTAAAAAAAAAAAAAACCAGGGCCTTCGAGTCCTTTTCAGGTAGATTGCCCCACCTTCCTTCTGAGGGGTGGCTGGTGGGTTTGAACCTCCAGCCTTCCAGCCTTCTGGTTAAGCAGTCAAGTGCCTTAGGCATTATGCTACCAGAGCTCCTCTTGACCCCAACATGTTGAGTTTTATATTTAACTATCCCCGAGTGGCACAGATAAGTAACACCCTTGTCTGCTAATCAAAAACTTGGCCATTTCAGTGCACTCAGCATTGCCTTGGAGGAAGGCCTGGTGATTCACTTCTGAAAAGTCATCCACTTAAAAGCCTGTGGAGCATAGTCCTACCCTGATGCACGTGGGGTCTTCATGAATTGGAATCCACTGGAAGGAACCTGTTTTTTGTTTCCCTTTTACCTAAAGCTTACTCAACCAACAGCCTTTGAACTGATGTGTGATTCTTATCTTTACATATACAGGTAGTCCCCAACTTACAAAATCCTGGCTTACAGATAACTCACAATTTCCCTTTGTTGTCATTAGGTGCCATAGAGTCAGTGTCCACTTACAGCCACCCTGTATACAACAGAATGAAGCACTGGCCAATCCTGTGCCATTCTCATGATCATTGCCATGTTTGAGCCTATTGTCTCACCCACTGTGTCATTCATCCTGTTAAGAGTCTTCCCCTTTTCACCTTCCCTCTACTTTACCCAGCATGATACTCCTCTCTAGGAACTGGCCCCTTCTGACAACAGGACCAAAGAATGGAGATGATTTCCGGTCATTCTGGCTGTCCTTCTTGCAAGACAGATTTGATCACTCTTCCAGCAGTCTACAATACATTCAATATTCTTGGCCAACCACAATTCAAATGCATCAAATCTCCTTCAGTTTTCTTCATTCATTGTCCAGGTTAGATATGCATAGTAGGTGACTGGTAATACCATGGCTTGGATCAGATGTGCCTTAGTTCACAAAGTGGTGAGATCTTTGCTGTTTAACACCTTAAAGGGGTCTTTTGAAGTAGATTTGTCCATTGTAATACATTATTTGATGCTTCCATGGACGTTGATTGTGCATCTAAGAAAAATGAAATCCTTGACAACTTCAATCTTTTCTCTCTTTATCAGTTGTTGTTTATGGGTCTGGTCATGAGGATTTTTGTTTTATGCTGAGGTGTAATCCATTCTGAAGGTTGTAGTCTTTCATGTTCATCAGTAAATACCTCATGTTCTCTTCACTTTCAACAAGCAAGGCTGTATCATATGCATATCACAAGCTGTTAATGAATCTTCCTCCAATTCTGATGTCATGTTCTTTTTCATATAGTTGAGCTTCTGGGATTATTTGCTCAGCATGCAGATTGAATAAGTGTGCTAAAAGGGTACAACCCTGACACATTTTGATGTTGTTATATGCTGTCGAGTCATCTCCGACTCATAACGACCTTATATACAACAGAATGAAACACTGCACGGCCCTGTGCCAGCCTCACAATCCCTACTATACCTGACCCATCACTTCAACCACTTGTTAACCCATCTTGTTGAGAGCCTTCCCCTTTTTTGTTGACCCTCCACTTTAGCAAGCATGATATGCTTCTCCAGAGAAGGTCCCTTCTGTCAATATGACCAAAGTGGGTGAGATGAAGTCTGGCCATTCTCACTTCCAAGGAGCATTCTGGCTGCACTTCTTCCAGGACAGATTTGTTAGTTACGTTAACAGTCCATGGTACTTTCAGCATTCTTCACCAACACCACAACTCAAAAGCATCAACTTTTCTTCGATCTTCCTTATTCATTGTCCAGCTTTCATATGCATATGAGGTGACTGAAAATGTCATGTCTTGGGTTAGGTGCATCTTAGTCTTCAAGGAGATATCTTTGCTCTTCAGCACTTGAAAGAGGTCTTTTGCAACAGATTTGCCCAATGCAATATGTCTTTTGATATCTTGACTGCTACTTCCATTGTCATTGTTTGTAGAACTAAGTAATATGAAGTCTTTGACAACATCAATCTTTTCTCCATTTATCATGGTCCTACTTATTGGTCTAGTTGTGAGGATTATTGTTTTCTTTATATTGAGATGCAATCCAAACTGCAGACTTTAGTCTTCAATCTTCGTCAGTAAGTGCTTGAAGTCATACTCACCTTCAGCAAGCAAAGTTGTGTTGTTAGTGTGATGCAGGTTGTTAATGATTCTTCCTCCAATCCTGATGTCACATTCTTCTTCATATAGTCCAGTTTATAGGATTATTTGTTCACCATATTGATCGAATAAATATGGTGAAAGGATACAGCCCTGACACACTCCCATCTTGTTTTTAAACCATATAGTGTCCTCTTGTTTTGTTCAAATGACAGCCTCCTGGTCTATGTACAGCTTCCTCATGAGTACAATTAAGTGTTTGGGAATTTCCATTCTTCTCAATGTTATCCACAATTTGTTATAATCCACACAATAAAATGTCTTTGCATAGTCAATAAAACACAAGTAAACTTATTTCTGGTGTTCGTTGTTTTGAGCCAAGATCCATCTGACATCAGCTGTGATATCCCTCACTTTACGTTCCCTTCTGAATTCAGCTTGCATTTCTGGAAGTTCTCTGTCAATATACTACTGCGCCTATTTTTGAATTATCTTCAGTAAGATTTTACTTGTGTGTCATATCAATGATATTGTTCAGTAATTTCCACATTCTTAGGGATCACCTTTCTTTGTAATGGGCACAAATATGGATCTCTTGCAGTCAGTTGAGGAGGTAGCTGTCTTTCAAATCTCCTTGCATCGCTGAGTGAGTGCCTCCGGTGCAGCATCCTTTTTTTGAAACATCTCCATGGGTGTTCCGTCAATTTCTGGAGCCTTGTTTTTTTGCCAATTCCTTCAGTGCAGCTTTGACTTCTTTCTTCATTACCATTGGTTCTTGATCATATGCCACCTCCTGAAATGGATGAACATCTACCAATACTTATTGGTATAATGACTCTGTATATCCCATCCATCTTCTTTTGATGTTTCCTGAACCATTCAACGTAATGCCCATGGAATCTTTCAATATTGCAATTTCAGGCTTAATTTTTTTTTCCTCAGTTCTTTCAGCTTGGGAAATGCCAAGTGTGTTCTTCCCTTTGGTTTTCTAATTCCAGGTCTTGGCACATTTCATTATAATAATTGACTTTGTCTTCTTGAGCTGCTCTTTGAAATCTTCTGTTCAGATCTTTTATCTTATAATTTCTTCCATTTGCTTTAGCTACTTTCTGTTCAAGGGCAAGTTTCAGAGTCTCTTCTGACATCCATTTTGGTCATTTCTTCTTTTCCTGTCTTTTTAATGACCTCTTACTTTTACCCCTGACACATACCCTTCCTGATTTTAACCCACACAGTATTCCTCTTGTTCTGTTTGCATAACTGCCTCTTGCTTCTGTATCGGTTCCTCATGAGCACAGTTGAGTCTTCTGGAATTCACATTCTTGACAATGTTATCCACAGTCTCCCAGGGCCTAATGACTTGCATAGTCAATAAAATCCAGATACCTTCCTGGTATTCTTTGTTCTCAACCAAGATCCATCTGACATCAGCAATGATATTCCTCATTCCATGTCCTCTTCTGAACCCAGCCTGACTTTCTGGCAGTTCCCTGTCAATGTATTGCTGCAACCATGGTAACTTTAATGTTATGTACATTTGCCCTCACTTTGAAATGACTGAACCAATCCCCACTCACAAATTCTTTATCATAATTGCCTTCACTTGCCTCAGGTGCAGCTTTAAAATGTTTGAGTCTTTTCCTGGACTAAAGTAAGGCTAAATGAAAACCGGTGGATCTGTTCCAACTCACCTACAAATTTGACTTAAGGACCCGCTTAGGAATGGATCTCACTCGTAACCTGGGGGTTACCTGTCATTAAACAGTTTTGCATTGTCCACCTCAACTTGGTATCTCAATGATATAAACAAATTCCTCAGTGTTACAAGAAAATCAAGTTGTTTGTTTCGGTTTCATGAAGACATATAGTTTTGAAAACTCTGAAATAATGTATAATACCATGTAATCCACATTAAACCCATAGAATCTCTGTGTCTATTAGGAGTTTTCTGTCTGATCTTGTTGCAGAAAGTTTTATATCTGCCCCATATACTTTTTCACAGCCCCTAAGAGATTTCCAGGTCTTCACCTCTTTTAGGGAAAGTTGTTAAAAAATGCCTATTTAGGAAAGGACACATTATCATGCCCGGGGATTC